TTCAATTCTTCAAAATGGAAGCGACGCACGGCGTCTTTCGCGATTCCGCAAATTTTCGCTTTTAGTTCTTCAAAATGGAAGCAACGCACGATGTCTTCCGCGAATTTCCGCTTCAAATTCTTCAAAATGGAAGCGACGCACGGTGTCTTTCGCGATTCCACGAATTTTCGCTTTCAATTCGTCAAAATGGAAGCGATGCACGGCGTCTTTCGCGATTCCACGAATTTTCGCTTTCAATTCGTCAAAATGGTAGCGACGCACGACGTCTTTCGCGCGAATTTTCGCTTTCAATTCGTCGAAACGGAAGTGACGCACGGCGTCTTCCGCGATTCCGCGAATTTTCGCTTTCAATTCGTCAAAATGGTAGCAACGCACGGCGTCTTTCGCAATTCCACACTTTTAGCTTTCAATTCTTCAAAATGGAAGCAACGCACGGCGTCTTCCGCGATTCCGCGAATTTTCGCATTCAATCTCTGCATTTCCCTGCCGCAACTCCAAAGGCGGAGCGGTTTTTCGACGAAAGCAGAGCTCGATAAAACAAATAACGGAGCGCTTCCCAAAACCCCGGGAAACCTCGTTCGGCGGATTTCGAAGCAGAGGACGAAGAATACGGCGAATTCAGTTTTCATCCCTGCTTTCTCTCTCTCTCGGTCCCGTCTCCCTTTATCGCTCGACAATTGTGCTCGGGATATGGCGGCAGGCCGCGGAACGGAGCGCGGAATAGAAACCCGGCCTTCCCAGGCACTCTCGCCGTAATTCCATTTGTTTCGTCCTGTTTACGGTCCGGCCGCTACGGCAGGATTACCGAAACCGCGGAATCGCCGCTCCGTGGCCAAAAAGTGCGCGTGGGAAAACGCCAAGTACCCGCAAGCGACATCTCGAGCGATTCGCGAGAGAAATCTGGACCATCAACCGGTATCACTTAATACAAAAAAAAAAAGTTGGTCAACACAAAGAAATGTGCTGCAACAAAATCCAAAGAGACGTCAGGAAGAGTCAAGAGAATTCCTTTAAACCAACTATATAATTTTTCTTCTCGAGGAAATAATTGTTTCCTGCCGTTGTACGTGATTCAGGCAATGATGTATATGTCTACAATGTACATATATATTTCTTGCGGTCAATTTCATTTTTCTTTCCGGAAAGTGATTCTTCCCTCTCGGTACCCTGGCAAGTCGCTAATCGGACCTCGCGAAAAATGCCCTTCTGCGCGCTTCAGCGGAGCGGGAGGACCGCAAGCGTTCCGCGAGCGGTCGGTCGGTCTGGAAGCCTGCGGCTGGTCTGGTTCTTAGATTACGATCATAACGAAAAAGCTTCTCACTCCCGTTGGCCATCGGCCCGCTCGAGGTGGAGGAGCGAGCGTTGCGCCACACGGCATGCATTATGGAACGGGCCGCAACGATTCCGCGGGAAAAATTGCGGACACACGAGACGAACGCGTTGCCTGCCCTCCCGCCCACTTACGAGAGTACCTACGAAGGTGCTCGCGTGCATGCGGCTCCTTTCGGTCACCCAGGTACGTGGACGTGTTCATATATGTGCCCATAATTATGAAAGTGGTCTGAGTCAAAATTGAAAAAAAAAATGAGTCTATCAGTTATTTCACGCCACATTATTTCAAACTAAATTAATTCAATGTAATTTCAAAACAAAAAATATATGACTTAGACCACTTTCATAATTATGGGCACATATGGCCAGGTAAGGTGAAAATTGTCGGAGGGTGGGTCTACCCCGAGAAAGAAAAATTCACTTGACCAAAGAAACATGTTAATTCAAAGAAAAATTATTTCCCTCAAATAAACTCAAATAAATTGTCATAATTCCGGAAGAAATGTCGCATCGAATTTAATCCAGTTCACTCGAGTGAAATACTTATTCTTTGAAATGACAAAATATTCCTTTAAAAAATTCATTCTCAGGGAAGTTTATCTCTCCGTCCAGCACACTGTACCGATATACTATGTTAATATGAAAGCGCGAAAATGGGTAGAAAAAATTGATACGTAAGATCACAAATCGTATTCAATTTTCGTCGCCCTAACAATGCACTTGCGTCCACCGGGAGGTGCATTGTTAAACCGCGAAATTGAAAGAGAGCGGTTTGTAAGCCGCGGCCAAGTATACGAGGATTCCTTGAAATTTTCAATTTTGCAAATTTACGTCGTTGCCGCGGCGCTACTCGACCTAACCTAACCTAACCTAACCTAACCTCGACTCCTCGTGCGGCAGTCGGCGAGTGCACGGCGCGGTCGTGTGCTCGCCACTCCTCCATCTGCGGCCCACTTGCGAAGGTACCTCGGTACATACGTAGGTACACGAGGTTTCCATATCCATATCCGTACCGCGGTATGTACCCACGCCGCCCACCGCTCTTCTCGGTCACCGCGTACGACTCGGAGAAGATTGCTTTCCTATACCTCGTCACGGAGCGCGCGGACTCTGCCCTTCGCTTCATGCAAATTGCCCGCTGCGTGCGCTCCGACCGTCCGGGTTACCGGAGGGACGAGGTCGGACGTTCGCCCGAAACCAAAAGCAAGACCGAGAAGGTGCGCCGCGAGTTTAGTCGAGCGTGGATGCGGCCACCGAGATACGGGGATTTATGTGCCCGTGAGGACGAACGCTCGTTAAAACTCGACTCCTCGCGTTAACACCCTCCTCGAGTCTGCCGACTCGAGTCCTGAGGAAAAAAGGAAATTGCTTGACTCAAAGAAACATGCGTTGCAGCAACAAAATGTCAGATTGAGTATACAAAAGCTGTTGGAGTCGACGACGATTAGTTTAACTTAACGCCGATTTTTCTTCTCGATGAAATGGTTGGTTCTTGAACCAGGCAACAATATTTATTTGTTTCGGGTAATTAACTTTTTTTTCTCAGTGCGAATGCTCGTTAAAGCTCGACTCCTCGCGTTAACACCCTCCTCGAGTCTGCCGACTCTCGTCCTGAAGAAAAAAAAAATTGCTTGGCTCAAAGAAACATGCGTTGCAGCAACAAAATCCACAAAAGAAATGTCAGATTGAGTATACAAAATCTGTGTGAGTCAACGACGATTAGTTCAACTCAACGCCAATTTTTTTTCTCGATGAAATGGTTGGTTCTTGACCCAGGCAACGATATTTATTTGTTTCGGGCAATTTATTTTTTTTTCTCAGTGCGAACGCTCGTTAAAACTCGACTCCTCGCGTTAACACCCTCCTCGAGTCTGCCGACTCTCGTCCTGAGAAAAAAAAAAAATTGCTTGACTCAAAGAAACATGCGTTGCAGCAACAAAATGTCAGATTGAGTATACAAAATCTGTTTAAGTCAACGCCAATTTTTCTTCTCGAGCAAATAATTGTTTCAACGATATATGTTTGCTTTAGGCAATTAATCTTTTTTTTCTCAGGATCTCGCTTGACTCGATGCGAGAAATTATTAAGAGATTCTCGAGAAGCGTTACCGTGGACTTTTAATGTAAATAAGGTGATCGGCCAGGAATCGTCGCAGGACGTGAACCCTCAAAGGACGGCGAACCACTTTGGCGTCCTCAGGGTGGACGAGGGTGCTCGCGTCGGATCGATCGACGTTTCGACTCGAACTCGGTCAAGCACCGAGTTCGTATAGGCGGGGTCGTATAGGCTCTATGGTATCCTAGATGAACGAACGTGGTAGTCAAAAGCTCGGCACCAGGTTATTCCTCGTCCACTCGGTCCTGCCGAGTCGAAAGCTCCGAGAGAGGAGCGCCCGGGGCGCGAAAAACTGTTTCCTCTGGCCCGAAAGGGCGGAACACGCGAGGGCACAAAGTATTCGGCACTTGTGCGAACAACGTCCTTTGCAAGACAGAGGGATGGAAAAGGTAAGGACAAAAAGAGGACGGAAGGTACGCAGTTTTTCAGCGGAACTGCCGCACCCGCGCCGCCCTTAGCCGGACGTGCAAATTTTAGCGCCTCTCCCTCGTAGCTTTGAAAAACTCCGAGAAATAGGGATGGTTGGTGAGGTATTTCGGAAAATTAATTGAAAATCCACCTGTTATCGAGTCACGGAGAGAAATAAGTGCCCTAGAGTTACAGAGGCCTATCTGCTAAAAATTGTTCACGATACGGTTAAAAGCTCTCCCGTAAATTAATCCAGGTAATTTTACTTTTTCACAGCATTCGGTCTGATTGGTCCATATATTTTTTTTTAGACAGATTAAAAATATTTATAAGTGTTAGTTATTATTTCATTCTTATTTACATTTTACAGATTTTTCTGTAGGTTCAATAGATTTCTTTTTTTCTCCGTGTAAGGACGAAATTGAGGGCGGGGGAGGTACGCGTGTCGGACAAAATGACTATAACCCTTAATGACAGGGCGCTGGCTATAGTTGGCGGGATCGATTACTATCGGGATGCGCCGATCGAAAGGGGACACCCCTTGGTTATCGGCCAACGACTATCATTACGTTCTCTCCACGGTAGATCGGCGATCGTTTCGGATTATTGCAATATGTACGATTCGGTGGTGCGGCGCGGTAGCAACAAACAGATTTGCGGCGATGGAGCTCTCATGGGGTTTTCTTTTTCAATCGCGGGGGAGCGAAATTATAGAGAAACGAGTGTTTGCGTTATGCCTTGGCTCACCTTGAACGCAAATACCGAATTATTATTCGATGGGTTAAGTACATATTTATGCCGGAAAGAAAGAAACCCCAGCCCTAAAAAACGGGATTTCTCGACAGTACAGTCAACTATATTATCAACCATTCAATGTTCAATGACCCAAAGAGATATTTCATTGAATGTAACCAGATAATTTTATTAATTATATTAATTTAATTAAATTAATTATATTAGAATCATTGTTTACCTCAAACTGGAATAAATTGTATGCAACGTCTCCTTGGAATTACGAAAATTGATTTGAATTTGGTTCAGTTAAATTCCTCTTTGCACTTGAAGAAATATGTTCTTTGGTTCAATGATTGTTTTTTTTTTTTTTTTTTTTTCATTGTTGTAGATAAACCACAGGTAACACTCACCTGAAGATGAACCTGGCCATTGTTGTCCACCCATCCGATGACCATATCGGCGCCCACTCGGCGATCGTTCTTGGTGAAACCGAGACCGACGTATCCGAGAGTCTTCACCTGGATCTCGAAGGTGACATCCCGATCCCCAGGTGTCCAGAGCACCAGGAAGTTGTTGTCGAGGACTGCACTGTGTTTCCACTCGACGCCCCCGACGCCGGACACGACGAGGACGAGGAAGCACGTTAGAAGGCTCTTGGGCTCCATGTCGACCAGCTCAGAGCATCTGCGGTAAACAAACAAATAAATATCATTTAGAAGGTGTATTCGGTAGTTCCCTAAAACTTCATTAAAAAACCCGGTGGAGGTTCGCGCCAAATACATGTAGGCAAATCGTGGAATCTTAGTAATGAATTCGCCCCATCGCAAATCACTGACATCCAAAGACCTGGTGTGAAGAATCAATTAAATCAAAGTTGTGATTTTCTTTTCCTCGACGAAATCATTTGTTGCTTGCAGTTATGTATGGCTGAGGCGATGACATATATTTATTTCAATCAGCTAATCTTTTCCTCTCGGGGCAGAAGAGGACCGAGATGAGCGGGTACTCTCCTGGGCTTTACGTCTTTGCGGACTACCCTGGATATTGCCTTTTAATAATTTAGCCGACCCGTTACCCCCTGACGATAACTTTCACCCTTCCAGGCCGCGGACGCGCCGTTAAAGCGCCGTCCCTTTAAAACGAAACGACGATTAGCGCCGGTTTCATCGACTTTTACCGCACGTCGCTCTCGGTTAACGCTCTCTCCAGGCTGGCACGGGGGCGCATTTCGTTTAAGAAGCTCGCCAAAGAGCCGGGAAAGGCACATCCGTACGAGGTTAATCGGGCCGCGCATTCACGGCGGACCGCGAGCCACTCCTGAAAGAACGCTCTCGGGAACTCTTAACTCGGGGTGGCTTTTAGGATGCACCGTTTTTACGCTCCCTTTTTAACGCGCCGCTGCGTGGGATTTTATGGAAAATCTTGACGGTGGTCCATTTTCCTCTTATTCACCTATAAAGCGAACGGACACTTTTTCTATCCGCGAGTCTCGGCGGAATCGAGATTCTGACCGAAATCTTCGCCCGACTCGCAAGTAAGCGACCTTGGTAGAGTTCCGCGGCAAATATATAAAAATAAGCGCTTAAAGAGCGTAGAGTGTAGAGTGAAATCTTGACGGTGGTCCATTTTCCTCTTATTCACCTAGAAAGCGAACGGACACTTTTTCTATCCGCGAGTCTCGGCGAAATCGAGATTCTTACGGAAATCTTCGACCAACTCGCAAGTAAGCGACCTCGGTAGAGTTCTGCGCCAAATATATAAAAATAAGCGCTTAAAGAGCGTAGAATGAAAAGCGTCGCTGTGTGGGATTTTATGGAAAATCTTGACGATGGTCCATTTTCCCCTTACTCGCCTAGTTCCGTATAGTAGAGTTCCGCGCCAAATACATAAAAACAAGCGCTTAAAAAGCGTTATAATTGCGAGGCGCGGAACTTAGCCTATCATTACCCGAGATCATTACCCTGGAGCGTCAAATTGGACAGAGAATCTCATTTCCTGAAAATCTCGAACGAGCGACGGTAACTTTAACAAGGCCATCGAGGTTCGGATATCTATCCGCGTTTTTCAAGATATTAACCAAACAGACTGTTACGTTTAATTCCTTGATATTGAATTTTTATGGATATTACGATTTACATATAAACACATTCTCAATGCATTTTATGAATTACACGACGATTTCAAGCGAAATGTATACAAGGTGAGGTGAAAGACGTCGAGAAATGTTACCGACGTCGGTAAAGAAGGGTCTTCTAAATATCCACAGTATCGACGTTGCAATGTATGTATACAGCCGGGTCGAATTATACTAAGTACTGTACCGAGTATTGTACGTTCGAGCAAGCCGAATTTGGTGACTCGTCGGCAACCCGGACGAGCGATGGACCGAGGGGAATCGCAGCTGTCGCGCGACTACTCGAGAAGAGAAGCGTCAACTCAAATTGAGAGGACGGCGCCGAGAGTCCGGGTTGAAAAGGGAGGTGCGGAGAGAGAGAGAGAAACGGCGTCCACAAAGAGCGAGACCGTCCGATCGGAAGCTAGCTGGCCAGAGGGAGAGGAAAATAGGTTACGGTGGCCATGGACGGGTTTGATTTGCGGCGTGTCGTTCAGTCGATTGCCCTCAAATTGCGTCCAACGCCGGTGGCATCAACCTGGAACGTTCCCAGCGCGAGCGCCGCGACGCCGGACCGTCACTTGGCCCCCGCCCCTCGTATGCGCTATTAGTTAAATAAATCCCCGGAATATACGAACCGTCAAAAGCAAAACTATTGTTCCCCGGGTGGAAGCGCGGCTCGCACTCGTTAATATTCCCGTCATCGCGGACTCGACGGTGTTTTCGGACCCGATCGGGACGCGATCCTGGATCGTGTCCTGGGAACCAGAAGTGGAGGTCGGCTTTTTGATACGGCACGTCGAACGAGTTCCGGACCGACTCTGTACCGGATGATGGAAGCCGTCGACGAGTGGACGAGGTCTGTGTACGGCGTTTACGGGGTAAGTGTACGCGATTCTTGTGAACGTGATCACCAGGCGGTACCTTCCTCGAGTCTGAACCCAGACGTCACCAGGATGCCTAGGGACGTCTGGGGGTGTCGTTGAGAAACGACGGGGACGTCGGTCGAGGTGCTGCCGACGTGCGTTCGATCTCTCTAAAACTCCAGGTTGGAAGGGGGAAGTTAAGTTCGGATGCTGGGGAAGGAAGTCCTCCCCCGGAGGAAGGACTCACCCTGGGAGTCAAACGACTCCAAAGAACGGCCTGCGAATGGCTTTGAGAAACGACGCCGGGGCGTCCGCTCGACCGGATGAGTCGGAGAGATTGGCGAACTAATTGCCGACATCGTTGACCATTAATGGGCGGATGGATTCGCGGATAGGTCGGCGGAAACGTCATTTGTCGCCGTCCATGCCCGATTCCATGCGCGATCCGGTCGAAGACCGGTCGGAAATTCTTTGGGGGAAAAAAAAAAAGAAATCGAGGCGAGACGTCGGACGCGCCCAGCGTCTCTTCGACGATGCTAATGGATGGCGTCGAGTGGCGGCCTGCCCTTTGCTCCGAGCCGCACTTCGGCACTTCGGCTTATCGGACGGCCCGCTTGCGGCATAGGTGAGTAGGTACTTTCCGCGTACAATTACCACTTAACGCTTAACCGGTCGCTTTTACGTTCCCGGGCTCATATCCGGAGCTCGCCGATTAAGTGTTAAGCACACTCGGTGGATTGCCCCCTTCCGATCACCTGCAGTCCCTCGCAGCGATCTCCGGATTTCCTGTAAACGCCGATCGAACCTCTCCTCGACCCTCTTTTAAGACTTAACATTGTCAAATAAAAAAAAAGTTTAAACAAAACGAAGTCATTTTTTAAAACGGGGGAATTTTTTCTAAGACCCGATTTTCAGTTCCATGCAGTTCGGAAATTGCATTCGCGGTGCAGCATCCTTCCCTGATGCAGGGGAGTGTGGGAATTCGAAATCGCGTTACTTATATGGTCGTTGCGTTCAATTACTACGGCGCAATTACCTTCTGCGTGAAACTTGACGATTGTCAATGAGAAACAAAATTTATACAGAACAAGGAGGGGTAATGAGCATCCTCTAAAACGAGGAATTCTTTGAAGACGGGATTTTCAATTCCATGCAGTTCGGAAAATGCATTCGCGGTGCAGCATCCTTCCCTGATGCAGGGGAGTGTGGGAATTCGAAATGGCGTCACTTATATGGTCGTTGCGTTCAATTACTACGGCGCAATTACCTTCTGCGTGAAACTTGATGATTGTCAATGAGAAACAAAATTTATACAGAACAAGAAGGGGTAAAGGGCATCTTCTAAAACGGGGAATTCTTTGAAGACGGGATTTTCAATTCCATGCAATTCGGAAATTGCATTCGCGGTGCAGCATCCTTCCCTGATGCAGGGGAGTGTGGGAATTCGAAATGGCGATATTTACCTAATTGTTGCGTTCAATTAGTATGGCGCAATTACCTTCTGCGTGAAACATGGCGATTGTCAATGAGAAACAAAATTGATACAGAACAAGGAGTGGAATTTTTTTTGAGACGGGATGTTCAGTTCACGCAGTTCGGGAATTGCGTTTCCGGTGCGGGGTAACGCGGGAATTCGAGATGGCGATATATCTAGTCGGTGCGTGCAATTACCGCGGTGCATTTAGCAGATTGCTCTTATCCTGATGCCTAATCACCTGCGCTCATTCGGTTACGCTTATGACCGATCTCTGGATTCCGGTGAAACGCACGCTGATGGACTCGACGTGGCTATATTAATTTCGACTTCGGAGAGGTACCCGCCACCGGCCAGAGAGCGCGTGGACAGAGAGAGAGAGGGAGAGTCGATAACGTAGCGAAGCGTTGACGCGATCGATCGAGCCAAATGTCGATGACGTCGAGGGTTACCGATATGCGCGATGAAACTGATGGAAACACGAGAATTTGGCAGAGCTAGTCGACATGGTGCGTAGCGCGCCATCGACGCCCGCAACATTTGGCTTCTCATTCGACGCCGTTTGGATTAATTCCCGTGAAAAGCGGAAGGACGAAGGAAAGACGAAGGAAAAGGGAGAAAGACTATCGGAAGTGCGGCGAGAAATTTCAATTAAGTCTCCCACGTCTCCCACTTTGTTGTCTCGCCTTTGTCGCGTTCCTCTCCTCTTCCACGCACGTAGTTTCCGGAAACGGGGAACCTCGAGTTTCTGGGTGGAGGTCCCTAAAGAGGGAGGTCCGACATCGAAGGATGCAACCGATAGGTAAACAAATGGACGACAAGTGGATATCTACGTAGCTAACTCCTCTAACTTACTCGGGGTATTTCAATGGCCTGAAAAGTGGTCGGCCCGGGACAAGTTTTCCCGGGCAAAAGTCGGGATATTCATAACCGTGGAAGTTTAAAGTTGCTCTCGGAAAAAGGTGGAACTCCGAACCCGACGTGACCCTGTAGTGGCGGCATAAGTAATATTGCTGGCGAGAGGGACGGTCATAAGAAAGACAAACTTGGAGAGTCGCGAGTAACTCTCGGTAGGTGGTAAACGGGGTAAAGAGGGAAAAGGGAAACCCGGGGAAAATGGCAAACGGCCTTTTCTCCTCCACCCTCGGCCGATCTTCAATCGAAGGGCTATCGCGGAAAGGAACGGATACGAAATAATAGTTTGCCGGAAAAGTGGAG